TGGACATTATTCTGCTATGCAATATACGGTCCGTACCAATGAGAGAAAATAAAGAGGATGGCAGGACGTAGGTCCGGTGTAGTTCACCGTCAGGTCAGACGCTGACGTCCATTTTAAATGGAAGAACTGAAGGACGGGAATGGGTCAGAGCAATCAGTCAAATATTTAGAGATGACATATTTAGAGAAATCTCATCAAAACTAAAAAAAATAAATAAATAAAAATAAAGTAGTTAAGTGTCACGACCTGGCTTAAGTTTGTGTGACCTAATTTGAAGCCCATCTTGTGTAGCAATATCTCTGCTTAAAGATTAATAAAAGGACTTCCAGTTTCAGCTACAAAATATAAAGAGCTTGGAAAGCATCATTTCCATCCTTGCTACCAGAAAAAGCTGAATGAACTAAAAATTAACCATTTTCCTTGGACTAATTATAGAACCAAGGTCACAGGGCAGCCTGCCACCCTGCACCCTGGAGGGAGGTGAAGCCAGGGAGTCACTGCCAAGACCTCCTTACCTGGAGCAGAAGCCCCTGGGGCCGTAAACGAGTAACACTTAAGTGTTACTTCTGATGAACTGATAGAGACGGAGTGTGGACTAGCGTGAGTGAAACTACTGGGACCTGCAGCCTTAGGGAGGCCCCCACGCTTCCACGAATTTTGCCTCCAGGAACCCCAGCAAGTTCTCACAGTGAAAAACCAAGAAAGACCTCTGGGATGAGAAGAGTAATCATTGTGAAACATGTCCAGAACCTTCTCCGTAACAAAGGCTGACTGTCCAGAGGAAACTATTTTCCCACAGCCTCACCCCACCCGGGACGCTTCTTAGACTATAGCCTCCTCCAGCCTCCCTGTCTCACCGAAGTGGAGAGAAGCTAAGAGACACCTGTGAAGGTCACAGCCCTACAAATAAAAGCTTTTCCTCCGCCCCTCCCCCAAATATACGTTTATTGTTGAAAGTATTACAGATGCTCTCCCGCACCTTACCACCACACCATCAGTGCTCCAGTGTAATAACAGCTGATTACAGCTGCCAGTGCTACAAAGCACACACTGAGGAGAAAGCCTTAGGGAAATCCACAGACAACAGGAGACAAAAACAAAACACTAGAGGAATCCGAAGCCTCTGGCACCTACAGATACAACAAACATTAAACACAGCCCAACTTCTAGCCATATAATAAAAAACCTCACACCTCACTAAAGCCTCACCTATCTCAGTTCCTGTTATGCAATACAGCAGGTCCAGCTTTCAACAAAAAAACTACAAGGCTTAAGGCATATTACTAAAAGGCAAGGTAAGCATCAGAACTAGACTTAGCTTTGACACAGATTTGGTGATTATTAAACAAATTTAAAATAACTATGGTTAATATGTGCAGAGTTCTGATGGAAAATGTGGACAGCATGCAAGAACAGATGGGTAATGCAAGCAGAGAAACAGAAACTCTAGGAGAGGATCCAAAAGAAATTCTAGAATCAAAAACACTAACAAATGAGGAATGCCTTTGATAAGCTTATCCGTAGACTGGATACCCCTAAGGAGAGAATCATTGAGCTTGAAAATATGTCAATAGGAACTTCCCAAACTGACATGCAAAAAGACCGATAGGAAAAAGATAACCCTTTTGGGCTTGGAGACCTCACCTTAGCCTCTATCTACGTTAGAACAGGACTTATATGTATGCGTATGGTGGGTGGGTTTTGCCAGTGTTTCTGTCTTTTGGGGACCTTATTATTGTAAACCCAGATACCACAAAATTAAACTTGACTACAGGGCGTGTACAGTGCAAAACATTTTGTCATCAGGATTCAACGGTCATGTGCAATNCATTATTGTAAACCCAGATACCACAAAATTAAACTTGACTACAGGGTGTGTACAGTGCAAAACATTTTGTCATCAGGATTCAACGGTCATGTGCAATTAATCCTATTAGTTGAGCACCTTCCACAAGAACTCTACTGAAGACCTGGCTTATGCATAGCTTCTCGTAAAGTAGCCTCTAACCAAAACTTGCTGGCTAGGCTGCCACCAGAAATTTTTGTTTGTTTTGGACACTGATGTATCCCAAGCATTTACGATAGTGCCTGGTATATAACTGGTTCTAAGTAAGTATTTGCTACCTGAGCAAATGATTGAAATTATATTACTGTTGTGCACACAGAAAGCTCTACCCAGAAATAACGGAAGAAATATTGTTCTTCAGTTAGTTTTATTTTATATTTTCAAAGAGCAAACTTTTGTTTTTGTTAATTTTTTTCTATTTTCAAGTCCATTGATTTCTGCTCTTACCATCATTAGTTCCTTCTCTGCTTGCTTTGGGTTTAATTTGCTCTTCATTTTATACTTTCTTAGGGTGGGAGCTTAAATCTTTAAGATCATTCTTCTTTTGAAATACAAATGCATAATATAAATTTCCTCCTAAGCTCTGCTTTAGCTGCCTTCCACATATTTTGATATGTTGTGTTTCCTCATTCATTCAATTCAAAATATTCAAAGACTTCTTTGACCCATGAATTATTTAGAAGTGCTTTGTAAACTTCTCAAATATTTCAGTTGTCCAGGTATCTTTTTGTTATTGATTTCTAGTTCAGTTACATTACGGCCAGAGAACATCCTCCGAATGACTTGAAAGCTTTTAAATTGGTTGAGGTTTGTTTTATTGTGCAGAATATGATCCATCCTGGCACGTGTTTCATTGCACTGGAAAATAATGTGTGTTCTGGTGCTGGTGGTAAGGTGTCCTATAAAGGTCATAAGGCCAAGTCGGTTGAGCGTGTTGTTTAAGTATTTTATATCCTTAAACAATTTCTATCTATTTTCTTTATCAGTTTCTGAAAAAAGTGTTGAGGTCATCAAATATAATTGTAGATGTATTACTTTTCCCCCCCAGTTCTATCTTTTCTTTGCTGCATATGTTTTAAAGTTCTGCTGTTAGGTGTACACACCTTTAGGATTATTATTGTGTCCTGATAACATTTTGACATTAACATTTTGAAATGACTTTTTTATCCCTGGTAGTAGTCTTTGTTCTGAAGTCTATTTGATATTAACGTTGCCACTCCAGCTTTATTTTAAACTGGTGCCCATATGATCCATTTTTCTCCATGCTTTTGCTTTGAATCTGTGTCTAAAATGGCTTTCTATAGATGGCACAGAGTTGGCTGTTGCTTTTTTATTAAATGTGACAATCATCTCAGTATTTTAATTGGTATATTTATGACATTTCTGTATTATTGATATGGATTAAAATCTACAATTTTGCTAATTTTAAAATTTGTTGCATCTGTTCTTTGTTCATTTTCTCTTTTTTTTTTTTAAATAATTTTTTGTGATTCCATTTTATTTTCACTATCAACTTATTATTTATACCCATTATTTTTTAGTGATTGCCCTAAGGTTTAATATATATTTAAATATTCAAATACTGTAATTCGGCATTTGTTGTGTATAAACCTTACAATAGTGTGATTCCAATTCCTCTATCCTATATTTTTTGCTATTGTTATCATACGTTTTACTTTTACATATATAAATTCACAATATATATGTTTCCACATATGTTAGACTGTTGGATATTGCCTCAATGCTCTCAAATGCTCTAGGTTTTTTTTTTGGGGGGGGGGGGTTGTTTTTTTTTTTTTNTTGCCTCAATGCTCTCAAATGCTCTAGGTTTTTTTTTTGGGGGGGGGGGTGTTGTTTTTTTTCTTTTCCTTCAATCTTTTTCTCTGTTTCTGTTTGGGTCATTTTTATTGCTATATCTTCAAATTTACTGACCCTTTCCTGAGCTGCCTTAGGTCTTCTGTTGAG